TCCACCTTGATCAACGTGCAGTGAAGTGGCATTCGGGCATGTTTCCAACAAATAGACCATTCACTTGGTATAAGGTGCTGTCTTTACTTTTTGCATCTGTGATATATCTAACTGTTATCAGAGATGATAGGGAAGTGACATTTCTTTTGTATGTACGGTTGAAGGCGACCTTCCAAGCTCCATTAGGCTCGGAGGCGGTGGTGGTTGACTTGCTCGGCATGGGCAAAGGAACAGCATGGGTGAACGGCAATAGCATCGGCAGGTTCTGGCCGAACTACACTGCCTCAGCCGATGGTTGCCATGAATGCGATTACAGAGGCACATTTAGCTCCAATAAGTGCCAAACTGGATGCGGCGAGCCGTCCCAGCGATGGTAATACCAAACTACATGCAGTTGAAGCGGTTTGTTCCACGATTCTGTTCTCTAAGACGCTACCTTTGCAGGTATCACGTCCCGCGATCCTTCCTGAAGCTCGGCGAGCCGAACACCCTAATGCTATTCGAGGAGGCCGGCGGCAATCCGCTGCAGGTGAACTTCCAGACTGTCACTGTCGGTGCGGCATGCGCCTCCGCTAGTGAGGGAGACACCCTGAGCTTGTCGTGCCTTAGAGGGCGTACGATCTCGAGCGTTGACTTTGCAAGCTTCGAAGAGCCGGAAGGAACATGCGGAGCATTCGAGGGTGGCAAAGGATGCAGTTCCGACGAGGCGTTTGCTGTCATCAAGGACTCATGTCTCGGAAAAGAATCGTGCTCGATCGAGATCACTGAGGAGTTTGGCAAATCTTGTGGCACTCTGCCCTCTCCCAGGAAGCTGGCAGTTCAAGTGACCTGTTGACCAGAAGCCAATAAATGTTCCTAGACATGAGATCTGTAGGCTCCGTGATGAAGTACAACAGTATGTTTATGTTCTTTTTTTTCTGCCAGCGGTTGTTAATCTAAATCAATTATTAATTAGATGTTTCAAAATCTTTACCATCACATAAAAACACACTAATATCAAAACTTAAACATCTCTACTTAACTTTCAAATGAAAGAAGTGTGTGTGTGTGTGTGTGTATATATATATATATATGTATGTATGTATATATATATATATATATATATATATATATATATGTATATATATATGTATGTATGTATATATATATATATATATATATATGTATGTATGTATATATATATATATATATGTATATATATATATATATATATATATATATGTATATATGATTTTTTGAGAATTTCAATGATATATTCTAAACTTAATTTTAATAGTATCAATATGAAAATAATTGATTTTGGAGTTGAATATATAATTTTGATAGATGAATTTGAATATAAAATAACTTGTTTTTATATAAAAAAGTTATAGGAAACACATAATGTTTTGATGCTAGAGTAGTTTCTAATTGGAAAGGAGATTAAAATTGTTTTTATTATATATATATATATACATTGTTTTGTCATAAAACATGTATATATTATAATTATATCAAATAATATTATAATAAATTGGTGATCATAATGTCATAAATCACTATCTTATCAATTTATCACATCTATTAAAAATAATTAAAAGAAAGAAACTTCTCAATGTCAAATTATATATATATATATATATATATATATATATATATATATATATATATATATATATATATATATATATATATGCTTTGTAGGTTTTTAATTTTATTTTAATTATTTAAAATTATGGTTTTAATTTTTTTTCCTAAAAAGTAAATTATATTAGCTAAACTAAAAAGTTAAGAAAAGAGCTATATAGATCAAAAATACAAAAAATAACAGGTTGAGAGGGTCACTCTCATTAGAAAAATATATATAAAGTTAGCTAATTAATATATTCAATCTATTCTCTATGTACGTGAGGCATAAGAAAAAAAAAAAATCAAAACACTTAAGTAATTCCAAATATTTTCAGCTAAATTTTGTATCGCCCAAGAGATAAGGATAGCGTAACAAATCAATCTTTAAACCATCATGATTATATTTGGGATAGTAATTTATAAATTTTCTTTGACAATAATTATCATGTAATAGAGGATACTCCCCATCTCTATTCTCATAAGCTCATAAAGGATAGAAATGATGGCCACATGAAAGTTACCAAAGTTCCTAATACAGTCGCTGCAAGAATATATGAAATGTGATTATCAAACATAATCTGAATGCTCAAGAACAACAATGAAGATTGGTGAGACCTTACAAAGAAAAGATCCAGAAAAAACGAAGGTAATGAAGATAGATGCACACCAGGGAGTAGACGAGCTATGTGGTAGGAGAACCTATCCGAGGCGGAGGGGGGTGAACTGTCATCGCCCTCGCTGTTACTTCAGAACTAAAATAAATATATTTTATCGGATTGCAAAGATTATCTATTAGCAAAAAAAACATGGTTATTTAAGAATACTTAGTTTTATTACATTTATATTCATATTTTAATAATATTATTTTCATAAAAAGGTGATCATTTTATTATTTATCAAAATTAAATTAAATATATTTGGTTGGATTATCAAGATAATATATATATATATATATTATTTTTATTAGAATAAATTTTTTATTTTTATAAAAATTAAGGTAATATATATATTTATAAAATTTATTTTGTCTTAAAACATATATGTATTAGGAATTATATCAAGTAATATTATGATATACCAGTGATCATAATGTAACAAATCACTTAAAGATAATAATAGACAATCTATCAAGAATAAGTATGACGACTTCCATCTCCTCCGTGCCCATCCCGATGGGAACACGAACCATTCGCCACCAAGAAGAAGAAGAACATAAGCTTCAGGGTTTCCGTGGAAAGAGAAGAGAAGAACGTAAGCTTCAGGGTTAGGGTTTCCGTGGAAAGAGAAGAGTTGCGCAGAGAAGCAAGAAAGTAGGTAAGGACCTTCTTCTTCAGAGAAGGGGAAGGAGAAGTTGGGGCGGCGATGCTGACGGGGATCGCTCCAGTCGATGCCGCTCTAGCGGAGGCTGTGACCGGCCGCGGAGCTCGAAGGGAGAGCAGCGCGTGGTTTAATTGTGGGATTGCCATAG